TATCCTGTTCAATCTCGACAGTGAATTTTATACGATTATGTAATGAGTTAATGTAATTTAAAGAATTCAATTATCTGTCCGTTCCAACAAAGCAAGCAAAGACATCGTCTATACCAAAACAGAAAATTTTTAAATAAAAGATGTTCTAGAGATATAAATCTGTCCATTAAATTCAAATTAATTTTGGTCTAAAGATACTATAAATTAATATATATATATATATATATATATATATATATATATATATATATATATATATATATATATATATATATATATATATATATATATATATATATATATATATATATATATATATATATATATATATATATATATATATATATATATATATATATATATATATATATATAAAATCAGTCTAATTAATCTGTCCATTAAATTCAAATTAATTTTGGTCTAAAGATACTATAAATTAATATATATATATATATATATATATATATATATATATATATATATATATATATATATATATATATATAAATCAGTCTAATTAATTTATAGACCTCGAATCTAGAAGTATGTTTACATATTAGGCAACCATCTTGGAAACATTTGCGGCGAACGCCAAAAATTCTGAAAATGCCTGAAATGCCAACATCGAAAGCTTTCCGAGAGTACGAACGTATCTTAACAATGTTTCCATGTTTTCGAGTATATTTGCCCGAGTCTAGAGAATGTTTCTGAAATAACCTTCGGAGATTCCGCGGAAATTCACCTTTTCGCTTTCAATCGATTTTCCGAGAGTGCGTTCTCGAGGTAATGCTTAAATGCACTACTAACCGGAAGCCTCTGCACTTCGGATAAAACAATCCGGTACCTGTCTGTTTCGAACGACTCTTTTATTAAATCGTTTAGCTTTTCGTTCGCGCAGTTTTGCTTTCGCTACTGGTGCTGGTCTTTGCCGAACGGGAGAACACGTTAATTTTCTAACCGTGCCGAGTCAATCAGAAGACAGCATCACCAATCTGAATCGAAGGACGCTTCATTTCATATCGGATATAATCGTGTCCTTTTGAAACAGTTTTTTTGTCGCCAGTATTGCATCCACAGAAAATCTTGAATTGTTGTTGATATTGACTGCCTATATTTACTTTAGTTTTTTTTTTATTACTATTCGAAATCGAGTTTCAGCGTCCAGTTTAGTTGTGAAGGTATCTTGTTATTTATTGCCGGCCCTTAAGCTTTTATTTGCAACTTAAAAAGTAAGTATTCCTTTTATTTGATCTTTTTCACATGTTTTATTTTATATTTTTTTAGGAATAAACTGACAATTTTGTAACTTGGAATTACCTCTTAACATACAGAAACAAAACACTCAGCCCAAGATATAGTGTCTTCATCTGACAGATCCAAAAAACTCGACATATTATCTGCCCGATATGACGTGATTTTTAAATTTAAATAGTTATCAAAACTTAACTATATAGGAATCTACTTTGTATTTTACAAATTTTTATTACTTTTCAGCTTTGAAGGCCCAGGAGAATAGATAAGTAAACCATGCCTGGCTTACTGGTAGAAAATACCCACACGGTGAAGAAAAAAACAGTGCATGAGTGATTGCAAAGGTTGCATGTGTAGTAGTAATGTAAGTATAAAAAGTGCAGTTACTTCACCTAATCAAAAATGATCCGTATGTCTTGGCTATATTGCTACCATTTTTAGATGTGGATTTCAGAAATGACAAACAAAATTCCTGTGTCAATTTATGACATCCAGTAATGAACTATATAAAGATGTCATACTAATAGCTATTTGAAAATTTTACAGGAGTTAGCTAATACAATTATTTGAATAAACAATTATTTTGACATTAAGTCATACAGGGTATCCCAAAAATTAATATTAATAAAAAAAAACTGTTTATTAAATGTACTTGACATTAAGAAGATTAATAATTTATTTCGAAAATCTCTATACAAGTCCCTATACCAATCGTTAACGTTTTGTTAGATTTGAGTGAATAAGCATTATTTCAAGACGATTTAAAGCATAAATGAGCCTAGCTAGGTAAAGAATTTATGACGCGGATATTTAAAACAAAGACAATATTTTATTCACTCAAATGTAAAAAAACAGTTGCCGCTAGCACATATATGGAAATTTTGTAGATAAATTGTTTAATGCAAAACATATAGGGTTAGATGAGTTTTTACCGTTACTGAATTTTTTCTATCTATATTTCAAAAAGATAGACCATGACCTATGGCGCACTGTGGCCATATATTAAATGTCAAACAATAAACCTATGTAGTCCTCCAGAACTTCTAATAGGGCACTCAACGTGAATCGTCCTTTATAAACGATCCTCATTACTAGTCGTCTTTTTGCGCTATAAAATTTGGCTTACTCTTAGTTGATTTAACTTAATTATTTGAAACCGGCAAAATGAACATGTTAAAGCGCAAAATAACCCGTGCGGCGGTTCAGTATCGGTTTTCGTAAAACTTTGACGTCAGAAAATGACAGATTTGCGTAACGACCGAAAGTTTCGACATAAAATGTATCCCGCGCAATCTTAAAATGAAACACGCTGGTGCGAAATTGCCTGGAACCAGCTGCGTCTTCAAGATTAAAATTTAATCAGTGCGCTGTGTCGCGCCTGCGGGTAGCGATGTGAACCCACACAGCGGCTTGTTAATTTCTTCCGAACAATAATTGTAAGGGTTATGAAAAATTTTGTTCTTTGCTTAACCGCCACACATGACCTGTTCAAAATTAACCCAATACTATATTTTTCTAACTATGTCTTTATGCACTCTTTATTTAATTTTGTGTTAGTATAATACAAAATTAAACAATATTGCAACAAAAAACATTTAATAATTAAATAAATTTCGAAGAATTATAAAAAAAATGACGATCAAGTACAAAAACTCAAAAATTACAGGAATCTTAGAAAGAAAGGAAATTTCCAATTTACAAAAAATAAAAGAGATTCAATAACTCATATTACCTCCTCGAATTCTCATAACTGCTTACTTTCGTGGGGATAAGCATGTTGTTGTTGGAATGTTTTCCTATTCCAAGACAGCAACATGCACTAATTCTTACAGTTGGGGTAGGTACATAACACTAACTTATCTTTTTAGAATATTCCAAAGGAATTGTATTGGATTGGATTTAAGGCTGGGCTACGTGATGGCCTTTCCAAGATCTGAATGTGAATTTCATTTCAGTAATTCACAGATCTGCAGTAAGTAGCAGTAGTTGGCCTTTTACTAGCCAATTCAAATCTTTTGATCTTTAGATTCTTAGCGATTTCGAGTTGGTTACTTGGCTCTCCACTGGTACATTTTTTGCTTCGTAATACCTGTTGCCGGAAAAAAACGTTCGTCTGCCCTGACCATGTTTTCCATGGTGTATTCCGGTTTCTCTATTTTTCCAGCTGTTCGAGTAATTATTGAATGATTAACACTTGAAACAACTTGAAACAACTTGAAAATCTTCCGCATTCATGATTGCTTAAATGACGTACTCGATTTGTCTTTTCATAACGAAATATTGACCTAGCTAACTAATCCACACACAAGAGCAAGTACCAGTTTAAAATAAAACAGTTATTAAACTGGAAAAAAATTAGTGAACGAAATACTTAACTTTTTTAGCTTAATTCAATTATTGATTTAATAACAGTACAAAACTAGAAAAAAACATCTACTAGACATAATCAATCTGAAAATGTAAGTGTGTGTTTTAGAGAGTATTGCGGGGAAAAATTAAACAAAAAAAAAGAAAAAAGAAAGAAACTTCTGTTTCTGAGATACGGCTTCTACTGGACTTTTGACCTTCAAACAAAGTTCAAAAAATCAAAAATATTAATAAAATTAACATCAGCAATAATAACGTGTGACATTAATCTTACTTTGACTGGCTAAAATTGCATAAATTATATAACTTTGCCGATTCTCTAGGAAGTTTTAGTAAACTTTAAACTTCTGTAGAAAGAATCCAACATATTTTTGAAGAAAAAAAAATGCGTTGCTGTATATAATAAAAGGGAATGAAGAAAAAATAGAAAAAAGCCAAAAAGGAGCAAAAAATAGCAGCCAGTTTTTTCGTCATAAAAAACTGGATGTTTACTGAGTAATAAGTATATAGAAACTTAGCAAAATTCAGCAATATAATTAACTAATTTTTTTATCAGGGTCGTACTTTATGTTTTCTACATTATTTTTAATTCTTCTTCTTCTTTCTTCTTTAATTCTTCTTGAAAAATAATATAATGTTTTAAAATATTTGTGAAAATTGACTTTCTTTCTTAAAAAACATAAAAGCTATATTCTTAGCATAAGGTAATCCATTTATATAATCATCCACCGATTGAGCGCGCGGAAGACGTCGCTTCGTTACCGACCTATAATAACACTCAAGCATGTTTGTGGTCTATTATATTGAAGAAATAACATCATTGGAAGATCCACGTTATTAAAAAACGTGTTCTCTTATGGAACTATTAGTTCCTAACTAAATAAATGTTTCTGTTATTTTAAAAACAATGCGTGCAGTGAATCCTAATACTATTAGCTGTTTATTATTTTTTTAGTCTATTCCATGCTCTCTAATAATATAATTATAGGGGGCCAATCCAGTGAAACAGATCATGTGTCATTTACAGAAAATAACTCTCATTTGCGGTTTCAAATAAACACACAATCTGTTAACGGCAACACTCCATAGAACGTAAACATAATTCTGATATTCGGAAAAAAATATTTGTGTGGTCAACTATAGCATAGCGCAGCGACATTGTTCAGAACTTAAAGTCTATAACTTTCTTGTAGCATTTTATTTATACTACGTTCTATGCAAGTATAATTTTGTTTATTAGCATTTTTTTTGGCAAAACTATTTCCTGACTGTCTTTTTTAAGGCTTGTTCCCGTCCACTCGGAACTAAAAAACAATTTAAATTAATTTTTAGACAATATGATTTAAGCCAAATTCATCGAAAACACGTAAATGGGTACTCACGGCTTTTATAATTGTTATGGTTGACTCCAGAGGCGGTGACCTGTTCCCGGTTCATATCATGCTCCTGGCCCGACTTGAGGCCGATTGTTTCAACGGAATCGCAATCGAGATCCATCGGTTGACCTTTTAACCACGCCGCCACGTTCGATTGTCGATATGCGAAACTCTACCGAATTAAACGAAGTTTCGGGATCCAAACTGGGATAACCGACGAAGACTTTTCAAATTGACGTAGGTCGACCTCGCACTGGATTTAGCGATAGCCTGGATGAAAGCAAAAAGCTTGCGTCAATAATAATTTGTGAAAGTGAGAATTCACCGCGTCACGTATAGGACACACAGAAGGTTTAAAGGAAGACAGTTGAAAATTTAACATTTAAACATTTCTCATATATATGTATATATATATAATTAGAAGAAAATAGCAACATCATAAATTTGAGTGTATTGTGAAATATATTATGGTAGATGTTGAACAATTTCAACATTTTAAAAGCAAATAAGTTATAAGCCGACAGAATTAAATGACCCAGACAAAATTACCTTTTCTATGAAAAATAGAAACCAATAATAATCTTTTTAAGAGTAATATCCAAAAATACCTTGTCACTTAAAAAAACGCTTTGGCAAAATATTGTAACGTTTTCACATTAAAAAAGACATTTCTTGCAAACCATATCGCTATTATTAAAAAAATTATTATTTGTTATTTTGTCCGTAAGGTTTAACGCAAATTAGCAAGACATTTTGTTAACGTATTTTGAGTGAAATCTCTAATTTACCTATGGTAAAAAACCCGCGCGATCTCTGTACTGGCAACATTGTCTCAGTCCGTCAATGTTGTCTCTCTTGATTATGTATCTATGTATGATTTGAAAACTTATTTAAAATTTACTGCTTTTATTTATCCATTTAGTTCCCTGACTACGCAATGGAATTTGTAATTCGACCCTCGTAAGAGCGTGATAATTGTTCTACGTTTATAATATTTGCTCAGACAACTGCCCACTCCTTTTTATAAACATTATGCCGGCGAACGCCTCTATGCACATTCTTTGTGCTGCAGCGCTAATCAAGTTGATGGCCCGGACTTATAGCGGCCCGAGTAGCCTTTGTTGCTTAATTTAATTTAGTGTGTGCGGGTTATTTCGACTAGTAGCGGCATCCAGTTTCCGGTCGCAACGAGCAACCCTCACCCTTGAACTAAATAGCGTTTGTTTTTGTCAAATACCGCGAAACTCTGCGTCAACTACCAGCGCTAAATACATTCAAACAACAACAAACGAAATTTACCATGCGGGGAGAACTCGGTTGGTGGATTTTTTAAACAATTTATTATTTGCTAGAGGTACTGAAACTTCACAAACTAAATGATTAGAATTATCATAAGCATGATGGTCGCTAAATAAATCCTTAGAAAGGAAAAATATTTCAACTCTATAGACTTGTGCAAACGTACTTCTATTTTTTATGAAATCTAAAAAGTAAGATTTTGAAAATCCTTGTGGGCGACTACTTCATCGTTAGACGTAAGCCTTTCTCCACCAACCATTTCTTCAAGCTTGGAAACAAGAAATATTTACTGGGTGCCAAATCTGATGAATATGGTGGACGTTGTAATTAATGAAGCTTTATTTCCATAATTTTGCGAATTTGCGAATCCGTTTTTTATATTTATAAAACAAGATCTTTTCTTCCCATGAAGATGTTTTTCCTTGATTACTTTGCTCACCATTCAAATAATGACGCATAACACTCCCCTCTTGTCGAGTTTCCTTACCCAAGTAATCAATGTTCCTCAAGTATCTCAAACAACAGTGGAGTTATATTATGTCTACGGCTGAATAGCCGTCTTTGTTTGCTTTCTTCCACTGTTCTGGCTGTTCATTTTCCTCCGAAGTGTTGTTACACTATATGCCCACGTCTCATCGACCCAGAAATTTATCAGGATTCCGACGGAAAAGCGCCCCAATAACTTCCGAGTCGACCACCCGATTACGTTTATTCTCACCAGCAAACAAACCCAGCATCCATCTTCCAGCGGACTAGTTAGGAGTACTACTTAATACTACGATCGCCAACTCTTGGATTTTCTAAGGACTTATTGGACGACCTACTTATATCTATAGCAATCCTTGTACAGACAACATGTAAATAAATGAAAAAATTATCTTTATTAGAAAATTTATGTTCCCACGATGACACTCCTGGCAGTCAGGGGAGAAAAAAGTTTTTCATATTGTCCGCTGAAGCAATATTCGTGACTCCGTTGACAGTTTATGCTGTGTGTGGTTTGTGGAGAGCGACACAAGAACAATATCTTACGATGAAATCCATTGTGTCGTAATTGAATTGTAATATAGAATGCCGATGTAATTTTGGTTGTGACTAGAGTAGAAAGCGTTATAAACAATAAAATTACAGTGGGCAAAGTTGAAGCTTAGCTTCATAACTTAACCTATACTCTTAATCCTTATGGCAACCCTGTAAGTTAAATAAGCTTACAAAAAAACCTGACTACAAGAGACAAATTTCATTTTTAAATGTAAAGCTACTGACACCTTTTAAGCTACTTGACACTTTATTATAACAGCTGCAGATCTGGTAACCAAATGATCTTTGATATTGTGCGGTTCTGTGCACGGGTGGTAAGGTATGCATGCCCTAAATCCGGATTATGTACATCATGCAAAAATTTTATTTTTTGAACCTTTAAGAGAGATTATTATAAAACGTTAGGCTATAACAAAATTTTTCATCCAAAAGCTTTCATTTTGGCAGTCACGCCCCAATCGTATTTCCTTATCCCATTAATTAACCGAACACAGTGCTTATGCACCGAATGCATTTCACATCAAATTTAAAGTTAATAAATTAAAGTTTAACATTAGTAAAGGCTTTTTTCATGAAACGTTCAATATGTTTTGTCAATCTTAACTTATCGTTCATTACCAGACCCGAATTCCTAGTATTGTTGGATATATCCAGTTTTTCTGCACCTGCAACAATGTTTAATTGGTTTCGTCATTGATTTGGACATTGATACAATTTTCCTATAACTCTCCCTCATAAATTTTCCTCTTTCATTCTTTGCGCAATTGGTTTTTTAACATTCCACTTCCAAAGGAAACATTTAATGAGGAATTGACAACGATTAGATAGATATAATTTATTTTACAATTTTGCCAAACAAATACAAATTATTATATCATAGAATAAAATCAAAACTTTCAAAACTTAGATTGCAATGCTTGAACTTCTTCGGAAATATTTCATTACAACTGGAAAAGTTATTCAAGAGTAGGAATTTGTTTATACCGTTTAAAGCAAACAATGAGCTCAAGAAATTTCTTATAAAAGTCAAGGATCCGATAGATTACTTTTCCAGATCAGGGGTATATTATTTCAGAAAATATCAAATTTTGGTGAGTACAAGTATAAGGACACTGATATCGGCTTCCACTACTCATTGACATTTTGACATGCGTGCCCAAAGAGTAAAAAACTTGATCTTCTAGCGAAATTAAAAATCACCAAACCAAAAAGCGTCCTTTCCTTGATTGCGTTAATGATTATAAAGTGGCACTACTACAATAAAAATCGAGGCGCCGCAGGCCTCATTCATATTTCCATAGAGAAGGGAATGATTTTCATCATATGGCCTATACGTGCGTCTTCACTTCACCGATTAATCTGCAATTTGCGCCATTTTCTATCTGAACAACGATTTACACACACTTAACTCGTAAAAACTTATCCGTATCCAAACTTATCGACGATCTGTCAGCGACTATGTTGGTTGTTGAATTCCACAAGGTGACGTAAAAATGTTTTCATAGTAGTTTCAAAGTTCCTGTACGATTGGCATAGGCAGGGCCTCCATATCTCTAGTCTAGTAGCTAAATGGTTTCTATATATGAAAATGAGAACATTCGTTTTTTAGATCTCGGTTAAATTAAATAGATTCCGTCTCATTCCAATTTATGTCCATGTGCGTTTGAATAGACATCTCTGAACGTGTATATGTTGCTAAATTTATTAAATTATTTAAAAGTGATTTTATTCTTTTTAAAAAATCTTTTATGGATCTGATGATGGGCGAAACGAGCGTAACTTTTCAAAAATTATTTTTGAGACCTTGACTTTGGAGTGAGTTTGAATCTTTATAAATATTTAGTATCGTAACTTAATTTCTCATTAAAATTAATGGCATACCTTACATACCGTAAGAAATCGATAGCAATAAGTTACGCTTTGTTTCGGTCGAAGTTTCTTCCGAAATCGATTTACATATAAATGCGAAACCGTTAACGTCAACGTAATATTTTCGGAAAACAACTTTCCGCGACCCTCGTTATTTAAAAGACGTTGTTTATTTTTAAAAAGTTTATATTCTCCCTCCTTATGTAAAATACGTATTCAAAACCTCCGCGTCGCCACCCGAAACGAATAAGATCCCCGGGATTTTGCCGAGGCGACATCCACTATATGCACGACAATATAATAGCCTCTCGGGCTGTATAAATACAAGCGCACCTTTTGTTTAATGTCAGCGTATATCTTGGGAAAGTTTCCTTTCATCCTGCGGCGGTATTTTTGCATCGTCTTTTATTCCTTCATAAGGAAGCAAGAAAAAAGTGTACGCCGTTCGACTCCAGTAGCTGTTAATCTGTTGATCAGTATCCTCATCTTTATTAGAATATAAAATATAAGTTTGTAATCAGAAAATCAAGTGTACCCTGGATTTTAAAAATACGAAGTCGAAAAAATATTTGCCTACTTTGCGTTGCTAAGCAGTTGTTTATATGGATTTTTTGGTTTTACATACCAACCGGGTCTCAATTTAAGATGGGGGAGCAACCTTCCAGGTATGTATTTTAAAATATTATACATTTTACATTTTTCACAAAGCGATCTTTATAAGTAATAACTTTATTATTAGAAGGTTTAAAAATAAAATACAAAATATAAGATATGACTTTAACAGAGAAGTTTAGTTAACTATTTTCTAAATTCAGCATTCAATATCACATCTGAGTATCTAGAACCGTGTTGAATAATAAGTGTCGAAATGTATGTTAATTTTTACTATTCATGTTATATATTTAGTATTAAATATATTTCAACTGCACCTGCACAATCTGTATCTCACTGAAACGTAGTCGATAGAAAATCTATCCATCTATCCACTATACATTTTCTCAGATATCTAACTTTTGCACCCTATCTTTCTGGTGGATTTCAACCCTGCTGGTAATTTTATA